AGATATATTGTGCTAAAAGACGCAACACTTTTGTAAATGTATTTATCGTTGTGTTCCTGTAGCCTCATGGCTCTTTTTTTTTTTTTTTTTCCCATGGTTGAACTTGGTTGTGATTTTTTTATTTTCTTTTGGGGCAGCGGATGATGTCGGGAGGTTGCACAGAAATTTAAACAGATTTATTGATTTTATTTGAGGTGCTGTAACACATTTTCAAAGTTTTAACAGAATTTCTCATATTTCTAAATGTGTCTGCCGCCACAAGCCCAGTCTTAAGAAATTCAAATGTGATTAATTAAAAAAATGTAGGGATGCAGCGGCCTCTGCTGGAGAGAAATGGGACTGAAGCGGTGATTTATTATCTAGAGACGATAAAGCTGCAGCCTGCCAGAGAAGGAGCCTAACACACAGTTTTTGGACGTAGACAGCTGGTCGTAGCGGTCGGGTTGGTCTGCATGTGAGACGCTCCTCTGGAACCTTCCAAGGAGAAACATGGAGCTACATGTAAACATTAACGCTAGCTAAAGAACAGCTGCTGTTCCTGCAGAGCATGCTGAAAACCAACAATGGCTTGTGTTTGGTAGACTTTCTCTCACTTACAAAACTTCCTCATTGTTTTTTTGTGTGGGATTATTTTTTTTTTCTTTTTCCAATATTTTGAATTTTATTATTTTGGTTTGAAAAAGTGTTTATTGTGATTACTTGTTAATTAGTGATGTGATTATTAAACATAAAATAAAGTTGGATTAAACTCAGTTGTGTTGGATCTAATTCTGTTTTTTGGGTTAATTTATTGATTGAAAATGATAAATTATCCTTTTCTACTTAAATTAAGTTCATATCTCCTAGATATGAATTTAATATGAATGAAAGAGTTTGAAACTTTTATTTTGGGTTAATATTCTATATCCAATTCAAAGACTTTTTAATGGATTTTCAGGACCAATTCACTCAAATTCTAGATCAAAAGGTGGCAGCATGCAGCACTGCTGCAAATAATTATAAAACAATACAAATTAAATCAAAACCGAGTTATATGTAACTGGGTTGTTTGAATGTGTGGTATGATAAAGACCACACGCTAAATACAGCTCTCACAGAAGTTCATTTTGCTTCTCAAGAACCAATAAAAGGTATATAGACTGCAAATATATATTTTTTTTAATAAGTATATTTCCTTTGTTTTGGGCCAACATGACGTTTTGGAAATGGGGTAAAATGATTTATGTTTGAAAAAGGAGAGAAAAAATTTATCTTGAAGTGTATGTTTTCCAATTCTTTTTTTAATGTGGCCTATTTGCCAATACAGCACTGAGAATCGATGACCTGGTGTTATAATTGCTTTCACAAGTCGACCATCATAGCTGTTGCCATGCCGTTCCACTTCATAATTCTGTATGATACATTTTTAGAAGTGGGACTGGGAGAAAGAAAAAAAGCAATGCATTGGACACTGAGACAGAAAGGGAGGTGAGAAATTGAGAGGGGAAGAGAGATGGAGGGAATAAAGGAGAAAAAATGCAAAAAAAAAAACAAAGCGGTCTGCTTCCACAGCTGAAAGAAAGAGAAAGTAAAAATAAAAACAAACCCATATAAACAAACATTGAAAGAGAAACCTTAGAAGATGGCAGGATGTTATGCAAAGCTATATTTATTTGAATTTGAAGCTTTATGTTTGTGTCCTTTTCTCTTTCCAGGGACACAGAAGGGGTAACTGATAATGATAAATAAAAAAAGTATTCTTTTAAAATTATCAGCAAATAGATCTATTGTCATAAAAAGTATCATCATGGGAAAAAACAACAAATGTTTTTGCAAATTAGGATGTGATTCCAGGGCTCTATTTAATGGCAACATATTTCAGCTATCATAATCTTTTCCATGATTTTTCCATCTTTTATAGTCATTTAACATTGTCTGCTGACTGGATTGCAGGTGTGCATTTTTGATATATATATATATTATTTGTTTATTAGTTTTTAGTTTCATTTACATCTATTTACAATTTTAGTTTCTTAGTTTTTAGTGTTCTTTACATGTTCACTAATTTTCCTTTTTTTATTTTCGATTACACAAGGATAATATCCTTTTATATTTGAAAGGGTGGAACTGAGGTTTGAAAATTTAGATTTCTCTTATTTCATATCTTAATTTATCCTATTTACTCACTACAAAAGTTTTTATTCAGTCTGTTTCACCTGAAGGCCTCACTATTCTCTGCAGGCTGGTGTTTGTAGAGCAGACATTGCTTATTCCCATAACAAACCAGATTCTTTCTCAGGGTTTATTCATAACATGTTACTGTTTAACCAAAATGTCTGTAATTTGTTTTGACTCTGACTGGTTTCCATTGTTGTAAGTAAAGGGAACAAACGCTGCTCAGGCAGAACAGGGCAGATTACCAAGCAATAAGGGCCGTATGATGAACTGTTCTCTATTTGCAAAGATATAATAAATAAAGTGCCGACTGAGAGAAATCCATCAATCTCTGTTTATTTAACTGGGGTAAATAGTTAAATACTTATTTTTCCCACTATAGTGTTAAACATAACTATCTGAATGCCTGGTTTATATGAATGAGTGTGTTTGTTTATATAAGCTTTATAAAGCTCATTGAGCAGCGAGATATGTTCACTTTTATACGTACCTTTCATTTGGATGCATGTTTTTAATCTTTGGTTTATGTATAATATTAATTTGCCATTAACTGTATTCCCAAAAGTAAAAAGTTAGCGCTCTGCTTTTTAATAGTACTTGTTAGATTGTTGGTTGTGGTAATTGAGTCTCGTTTTAATAAATCATTTAGAGAAATCTGACTATGGAGTAACTTTGTTACTCTGAAAACCGTTTTTGGAATAGGAAGTTTTTTTGTTTTTGTTTTTCTCATTTCAAGGTTGCATTTTATTTCAA